CTAGCTGGTTTGTTGTAGAGTGTGCATTTTTTAAATACACTGTAATCATTTCAGACCACGTAATTAGAAACACAAAGCAGTTTACTGAAACATAGTGATATATTAAGAGTTCAGTTAATTACATGTAAAGAAACAAGACAGACTTCAAAACCTTAACTCAGTTTTCTATTTTATTTGCAACTGGGGCATGTTGATGGGACTTTGCCTGCTTAAGATTGAGTAGGAGTTTCAGAATTTTAACCTGAGGGTAAAATTTTCAAAAGCATTTAAGTAACTGGCTCACTGAAAATCAATAGGACTTTCACTCCTTAGGGCAACATTTTAGAAAGTATGTAGATGCCGAAGTCCAGTTGACTTCAGTGTCTATGTATATTAAAAAACTCTGCTTTATTGCCCTAAATCTCTTTAAAATATGTGTTGCACTTCAGTGTCACCTAAGATTTTCCGAAAAAGTTACCCCAAATAACCAAGCTGCTATTCTCTTTTTTTCATTTGTAAACCCCTGTTATATTTTTCTTTCTTCTCCAATCTATGCAGAAAATAATAAGACATATTTTGGATAACAATAAGCCACACTGTCTTCAATCTGGTCTTAAAATCTTACTGTAAATGCTCAAGGAGAGGTGGCAACACTTCTTCACTCTACTGTAAATTTTCCTGGAATTTCAAAATAAACGTAAATATTTCCCCCTTTTCAGTTCTGTATTTAATGTCTTTTTTGATAAAAGTGATAAATTGCCTCCTTTGAAGCCACAGCCTGACCTAAATTATTCTGTCTACATAATGTATAACAGCAAGCAGAAAATAATAAAATTGTAATATGAAATCTTAGGGAGATGAAGAAGACATAAATCAGAACTAATTAGTCATTCTCATTAATGAGAATATATGTTATATTTTCCATTGAATCTCTCAAATGTAATTTGCTGAGAAAATTGAAAAGTACCACTTAGTATAGAAAAACTTCAGTATTCAAAAAATCTTTGCTTTGAGAATTTGCAGGGGGGGTATCTTGGTTCTCTAACATGTTTTCTGTGTGAGCTTTAAAACTATGCTGACTTGTTGCACAACAGCTTACAAGTTCTCAACAGTTGCATTTATTACGATTTTACCTCACTTTCAGACAAGTTCTCTTATCACGCTCCAAATCATATTTTATGCTGCTTTGAAGTACATTACTAATATGCTTATTGCTTAACAGCAAATAGCCTGACAGTCATTTCTGTTTTAAGGTGCAAAGTAATAAATGTCAGTCTCTTTTTTTTGCAGTCATTTATCTGAGCCTTTACTATTCTCAAAGTATCTGCCTCTGGAAACAAGTCAGAAGTGCAATGCCCCTAATGGTCTTCTCTTTGGGACTAACAATAAAAATATACAACTGAATTTTGAAGCTTTCTTTCCGTGCAGCCTTCATTCTAAATCTGGCCTTTCCCAGTCATTATTAAAACCGGGCAGGCCCAAGTTTTATGAAAAAGTGGGAATTCCTTCTTGTTTTGTGTACGTTCAGTGATCATGTGGGTTGCAAAGACAAGGCTCTCTGGCAGTCATTTGTACTTGTCAGAGCATACCCTTCTATTCCCTGTGGCTATTTTGTGCTGCTAGACAGGTGTGTGCACTCCACACAAAACTCTGCCTTTTGGACATCATTATAGTGTCTAAGAAACACGGAGGATGGGAGCCTGACAGACTTATAAATGACCATGAAGAAGGGAATTCTCTTTGGGGGATCTTTACCGAACATGTGCCTTGTATTATTCTGCATGGAGAGAAGTGTGGGTTTTTTCATTACAGAAAATGGAGAAAGCAAGATTTAAGGTCTGGATAACCCTGGATACCATTCTCTCTGAAGAGTGATGGATGGCTTTACTACTGTGTTTAAGTTCACTCAGAAGCAAGGCTGTTAAGATACAAGAAGCAGTTCGGTTCAAAAAAGCCTGTAGTTAAATGTAGGGCTTTATCTCTGAGTACGTGTACAAACATTTAAATTCATCTGGTTAATGGATTTCTTCCCTGTGCCTTCCCCACCATCACCTTTCAAGGACTAAATAATGGCCTTTACCCCATCCCAAGCAGCAGAGTGGAGCATCCCTCGTGGGATCCTTGGGAGCAGTGAAACCCAATCTCCTTCCTGGGCCCTTCACGTGGAGCATTTCACCTCTCCAGACACTCAGGTATAGTCACTTTGCCCCGGCTGATCTCAAGAGTCATAATGGAAGATAAAGGAGAGAGAATTTATTGCCTAGGACTCAAAGCATATAGGGTTTTATAGATCAATAAGAACATCCTGAGTTATGCCCAGAGGCAAAAAGGAAGCCAGTATAGACTTCAAAGTCCTTGTGTAATATATTCCTTATGGCCAATATTACAGATTAAGCACACAGCAATGTTCCACACAATCCATTGAATCTGACTAGAAAAAGGACAGACATTGTATAAGTCTATTCTGGAGGTTACAAAAAAGGTAAGTTGGAGCCTTCACCTTTGAGAAACCATAACAATCATCTAACTAATAATAGCAAAATATATTTTACATCTAGGAACCCATTCTGAGCTAAGCATTAAGAAACACCTTTGGTTGTGAGATTTGCTCAGGAAGAGTAACCAAATCTGACTGACCAGCATCCCTTCCCCTCATGCGACTTTTCATCTGCAACCTCTAGGTTTGAAGAAAGAAAGTAAAAATCAAATTAACTGAGAAAGTCCTCAAAGCAGGGAGGCTGGAAGTACTGACCAAGGAACTGAAACAATGCAATTTTCATACAATATTTGTAACAACTGGAAAATACAAATGACATTAAAATAATGTCTACTCTGTGTCTAGCACACAGAAAAATGAGGTCACCTGTATTATCTTTCCTACGACAAATTCAGGGCCAACCTTTTCATTTACAAAGGCTGTAAAAGGATTTTCTTGAGGTCTTCCTTCTTTAAGTGACAAGACCAAGAGAAGTATGTGATGAACTTAATGGTTTCATACAGCCTGGATTTGAAAGGATGATTTTTATCTCTCATTGAAAGCTGAAAAGGTTGAGGCTTAGCAAGCTCCTTGCAGTCCCAGTCCTGTAGCCACTCCAAGGGCCCATTCATTTTTCCTATAAGAAGATTATGTACCTTGTTTCAAAGAAAACAGCTCTTAGGGAAACTTTTGACTTTCTTAAGTCAGAACTAATGTGGGAAAATCCTTCTCCCAGGAAGAGCTGCCTTGACTGGTATCCACAGATGCTGTGGATAACTGGAAAATGGGTTCTGTGTATTTAAGTATATTGGCTAGGTCCAGCACAGAGACTATCCTGCAGGGAAGGTGAGATGTGTGAAGATCTGTATTATAGAATCATAGAGTTGGTTAGAGTTGGAAGGGACCTTAAAGATCATTAAAGATCAGCTCCCCTGCCCTGGGCAGGGACACCTCCCACCAGACCAGGTTGCTCAAAGCCCCATCCAGCCTGGCCTTGAACCCCTCCAAGGATGGAATTATGTGTGAATATGAAAAAAAAACCCAACAAAGTAGGACTTGAACATTGGCAAAGCAGACCTTTGGTTCGCTGCTGTCGAAGAAAAATAATGCTCAAATATTAATGGTCTATCATGTACATTTGGTGATTTGCTTAAGGAAACTTTCACTTTCCACTTTATTTTAAAGGGAAGTTAAAATGCACATCTTTGCTTTTGTGGTTAAATAAGAAGTTCCATCAGAGCGGAGCTTGGAGCTTTGTCAGGGGATAAGAGTGATCCCACTCCTCCATACATTACTCTGCTGAAAGATCTCACTCTGCCTTGCAACATTCTTGTTATTCCAGAACTGGGTTGGGCTAGTCATAATAGATGCAGGCAATCAACTTAACTTCCCCACACACAGCTCTGCCAGTAAAACTCACTTCACCTTGCAACACTCCTGTTTTTCCTGTGTCTTTTAAGCAAAGGTTATCAATTCAGCACTTACTGTGGATCTGTCCTTCCTCCTGCTGAAATCCAGGGTAACTTTCTCAGTGATGCAAGAGGCAAGTGCTGCTGATACAGAGAGATGTCTGTTTCTGAGCAGGATGAAACCAAGTTGTCTTGTGTGAATGACTGAGATTTTGACCCTGGCGGCAGAGATAACTGACCTGTGTTCCAGTTCTGCTTTTGTTACAGCAAATAAAATCCGGGATGACACTACAGATATCAACTCAGTTACAAAGAGCGTGAGATTAGAGTCTAACCTTTACACAGTGTGGCCTCCTTCGTGGTTGTGCTTTTTCCCAAGAAAAAGGTTTCCTTCTCATCAGAACACTGTAGCTTTCAGTGCTGATCACCGTTGTTCTATTTATAATGAAAATCTACAGAGCATTCCCCATGATGCAGACAAGCATTGGCCTACTGACAGCATCGCAATTTACACTCACGTTTGGATTCGGGCCATGTAATTTTATGTAAAATCAAATAAGTGTGTGACACAGTAGGAGGGTATGCCAAAATAGGGATTATTCTTCCCTCTTTGTTTTCTTTATCACGTGAAATAATGCATTAAAAATATAAGAATGCTCTAGGCGATGTACAAAGCTAAAAAAGACTAGTTTGGTGAATGAGCATAGTGAGAGGCTATGAATATGGATGTGTTTGCACTAAGGAGCCTAGAGGAGATGCTTTTTATGCGTGGTGATACAGAAATACATACTTGTAACTCTGCACACCAGGGAGAGAATATTCCCCTAAAACAAGTAGTTTCTCTAGCAATGCTCCTTGTTGATCAAAGCTGCATAATTTAAAGCATCTAGAGGCAGCTTTAAATTATTCACCATTTTTTTAAAGTGATCTTGGTATATCGCAGACAGCATTTGTGTAACTATCAGCCTTCTGTAAGTTCTATAAACTTTTGCATCCTTACAGAGCTGGCAAGTTTTCTGAAAGTCACATTGGAGAAGAGAAGAACTTTGCATAAGAGGGGCAGGAGAGACTCATTCAGACACCGTGTAAGTCCCATTGCACAAAAATGCCAGGCATGTGGGGCCATAGGGAATGGGAATGGCTGGGAATGGCAGGGCAGAGCCGGCAGCCTCTAGGTCTCAGCCCCAATGCTGCTGAGTGGTGCCTCCGAGTTTTCTGATACCCTCCAAAGCCCCAAAGAGGAATCCTGCAATTAGTGTATCTAACTCCTCCTTTACTGCAGTCTTCTCTCCTATTGGTAAAAGGTCTTCACAGGCTCATGTAGGGATCCCACCCCTTTTGTGGGTTTTCATTCTGAAGCTATCCACAACTTTACACCTGAATGAATGCCAAGCCTCTCTGAATATATAAAGGAAACCTTCAAGAGCAATTTCAGAGTTACCCAGAAGAAGCAGAAGAAAAAGATTTCAACCAGCTCTGTCAGACAGAGACTGAACCAACCATGCTTCTCCCTGCCATCCACTTCTATGGCTTTCTCCTAGCTTGCATCTTCACCAAAACCTACTCGGCTTTCAAGAACGATGCCACAGAGATACTTTATTCCCATGTCGTTAAACCCGCTGCAGCGAGCCCCAGCAGCAACAGCACCTTGAATCAAGCCAGGAACGGAGGCAGGCACTACACCGGCACTGGATCCGACCGTAACAGTGAGTATCCTACCGGCGGCACTTCCACCGCCTCCCGCAAGCCCGCGGCCCCCCGGTGGCGGCGGCGGCGGCTCCTCCCGGCCCGGCCCCGGGAGCGGAGCCCCCGGTAGCGGACCCCCCCCTCCCCGGTGCCGGCGCCCCGCTGCAGCGCGCTCTGCCCCCCCGAGTCGGCGCTGTAGGGAAACGGCGCCCCGGGGAAGCTGTAGGGAAGATGCTGCCGGTTCCCGGCTCGCCAGCCTCCCACCCCCCTGCGAGGCCGGTAGGACCGGCTCTCTCGGGCAGGTTACTTCCTGAGGGAGGGAGGCTCAGCCAGGAACGGCGGGTTCCATGGGTTATCCGCCAGGGAAGGCAGAGAAAGGAAAAGGAGCGAGAGGCGTTTGTAAAGCCCTTGGCTTTCCTACCCCCCCCCCCCCCCCCCCCAGTCCCGGCCACTTTTGAAATGCAATAAAAAACTCTGCATTTTGTTCCCGCTGCTCGGTTTTACTTCCTGCTGTAGCGCTTCCCCTGCTTAACACCTCCAGCAAAAGTAAACAAATCAGCTCATCATTTACCTATGATCTCTGCTCTAACTTGCCCTTTTATATCTTGTCTTTTCCTGCTGAGTTTTATGTCTATGTGTCAGATACATGGGGAGCTGGAAACCTTTTGCTGACTTTATCTGTTCCCTCCCCTGCCCGCCTCCTTCAAATGAAAGAAATCCAAATAGAGCCGCACGCACACACACACCAACCCACCCACAACGATCCGATAAAAATAGCGTCATCCCTGGAAAGTGAAGGCAAAAAAGTGACACGGATACCTTTCAGCTAAGCCAGGTGTGTCAGCTCCCGTGAATGCTGAGGGTTTAAGTGCACAGGAAACATCTCATCATTCCGAGATTACTGGAGCAGCCCAGTAGGTATTCATCGTCAAGGAGCTGTCACTGGAGAAAAAGCTGAGGCAGGAAAGACATAAAAACAGGAGGAACGACAAGCTGAAATCTGTGACCGGCTGCTTCCAGGTACATTCCTGAGCGCAGCTGCAGGAAGGCAAGCTTGAAGCTTTTCTGCAAGGCAGGCAGGAGAAGGGTCCTGCAAAGAGCCTCTCTGATCAGCCCGCAGACTCACAGCCCCTCTGACTGCCCCCCCTGAGCCACGGGGGGGACAGGGTGAAGTGATCTTAACTCCCTCTCTCTGTTCAGAACTTGCTTCCAAAAATCCAAGCAGAAACAAAAGCAGCCCGTAGCTGTGATATGTAGATGTACCTTCAAAGCCTTTTATGATTCACTCGAAAATGTTTCTAGTAATTACTTCTATTTTAAAGGCGTTAGTTAATTGCATTGTGTGTAGAATCTGCGCCGTAATTGTCGTTCAGAAAGAGGGAGAGCATAGCCAGTAAAGATTGCTTATTAAAATTAAGCGCACTGTGGGCGTTTATTTCAAAGTGTAATTACTGAAATAAACAGTTGTGTTTATTGCAGGGTGCAGGGCTGCACATACAGGCGGGTACAAACACGCCTCTCCGAGAGGCTCTGCGTGTTGATTCTATGTCAGTTGCCTGAGAGAAATGTGCAGGATCCTCTATGTGACATGTAACACAAAGACTACTGCAGATACAGAGATGGTCTTACCCTCCGGATAAAATAATCACTCTGAAATCCTTACTGCTAATCATTCAAACTTTGCAGGCACAACCCCATTCCCTGGTAACTTCAGCTGTAACCACTTCTGCAGTATCTGTGCTCAGAGCAGCAGCGCTCACCAGAGACTCAGTCCACAGTAACTGTGGAATGAGAAGAAACATACTATTTGAAATTCATTTAAAAGCACAGAAACAGTTTCCAAAGCACTATTTTCCCCCTCACTAATGATCCAACGTAATTGTTGTAAACATCACAGAGCAGATTCCCTAGACTGAGAACAAGCAGGAAACATTTCCTCCCTTGGGGCATTTTTTCTCTTCTAAAAGGTATGTCCCTGAGAAGAAGGATAAAGAATAAAATTGCCTCTTCTACCACAACTGCTGAAGTGCATATCATTATGATTTCTTTATGCTGTGGTAATACCCAGAGATACCATCAGCGCTTGAGGCCCTTTTGTTGGGGGACACAAGAGTAAAGAGATGTCCTGTCCAGATTACAGCCCACTTTAACTTCTGCAAAACAGAGCTTGGTAGCGTGAAGGTGTCTGGTTAAGGAAATCTCTCCGTTCTGAATCTCAGTGTTTATTATTCTGTGCATTCTGCAGATCGTGTTCAAGTTGGCTGTCGGGAGCTGAGATCCACCAAGTACATTTCAGACGGGCAGTGCACCAGCATCAACCCGCTGAAGGAGCTGGTGTGTGCTGGCGAGTGCCTCCCTTTGCCGCTGCTCCCCAACTGGATTGGAGGAGGTTATGGCACCAAGTACTGGAGCAGGAGGAGCTCGCAAGAGTGGAGATGTGTCAACGACAAAACTCGCACCCAGAGGATCCAGCTTCAGTGCCAGGATGGAAGTATAAGAACCTACAAAATAACTGTGGTCACGGCCTGCAAGTGCAAGCGATACACCAGGCAGCACAATGAGTCCAGCCACAACTTTGAGGGAACCTCCCAAGCGAAACCTATCCAGCATCACAAAGAGAGGAAAAGAGCCAGTAAATCCAGCAAACACAGTACAAGTTAGAAGTCAGACATTCTCTCTTCTCTCACCTCCCTCTCCTCCTGCCAAAACTGAACTCACCTGTAACCATTTGCTTTACCGTTCTGACTGCTTAAAGACAAGTCTGCCATTGCTGTGTTCTCAGTCGACACTACACGCTTATTGCTTTGACCAAAATCAAAAGGGGCATTCTCAGCATATGGACCTTTTGGGTGATTTTTCCAAATGCTCAAGATGGGGAATAACACAAGCCTTCCAAACCCACACTAAAAACTTTTGCATTTTCTCCAGCCATGGAGGCCAAGAAAATTTGCCATGAATATTCACTGAAGTCTATTTTGTAAAAAGATGCTTTGTTGTGTGTTTTCATGAGAACAGTTATCACATCTATTGCCTTCTGTATCCTGTTTTATGAACTTCTGACAACAGCTTAAAAGTACAACACCTAGTATCTGCTTTCAGACTCTTTCTAAAAAAAAAAAATGCCTTGCATGCTGACCTTTCTCTTATCTCAGTATACCAAAAATTAAAATATGCATGGCAGCAATCAAAAAGTAAAGCTGAGCAAACTATTTATTTGTTGTTGTAATTATTTAATGAGCTTTTATGTGTGTTATTTCCCTCCAAAATGTTCTTATGTTTATAGCTTTTCTCATGTATCAAAGTATTTTCCTATGATTTGTGGCTGGATTAGAACATACATTTTGTAGATAATGTAAAATAGACATTTTTAGCATTCTTGGTATATATATTTTCATTTTGAACATTCATAGACTTAGGCGTTATTTTGAAATAGCAACATAAAAATTGTTTTTTTCATTCTCCACTCTGTATTATTTTTGTTTAAAAGTGTGCAATCAAAAGACAGATATGATGATTTCCTTTCAAACTCATCAGTTTCTTTTTTTTTTTACAAAAATAAACACTGATTAAAAACTGTATTGTCTGGCTCTATGTATGAAAATGCACACATTTTAATCAGTCACATTTAATCTTAAAAAGTGAGAGAAGATTATTTGGTTAAAAAAAATCTGCCCATAATATTTAACATTAAAACAATCTTTCTGTGGACTCTTTGCATGTAAAAATCTTATATGGCCATTTAACAGATGGTGCTTATTAATGGTCCAAGCCAGGTTCTTATTTAACAATCCTCAAGTTGTACATTGCAGAGTAAGTGTATATTTGGGAAGTTTTACAAGCTAGTAAGACACCGCAATTTGTTTTTCTTTTTGTTAATGATGATCATGTGGTAAAAATAACCTGCAGTTTCATCTTTCCCATAGAGCCATTAGAGTCCTGCACTTTATCCACAAATTCTTATAGAATGTACCAGGAAATACATATTTCAACATACAGTCCATAAATTACATGTTCTTAATCTTTCAGACTATATTGGAATACTATGGGCAAGATGCCATCATGGGATTCTGCTGTTCTTAATAATTAACTTTTACAACCCATTTGCACCCAAAGAAAAGATTACACAAGAAGAGAGTAATAAAAAGTCTTGCCTGATAAGGTCTCACATAAGCTCTCTTTGACCTTCTCTTTATCTCATTCATTTTACATATTCATTCCAAAAGATTCATCGTGAGGTTCTTAGCAGAGATCTTCCTTGGTTGTTAATGTAGAACTGTTTGAAAATCACTGCTATGGCTTGACTTACTGAATCCTAAATTTTATCAACAACATTTAATAATTTTTCCTCAAAGCCATTTTCAAGAATTCTCTTTAAAATTTGCTACACGTAAGAAAGATAGATAGTGGGTTTGGGTTTTTTTAAGTGATATCTATATGGTGGTACAGTTAGAAAACATTGCAGTAACAACCTAGCTGTTTCAAGTTTAGTTCTGTGATCGTGAAAATATCACAACGATGAGATCAGAGATCATTTATTCTTAAATTCTCTGATCTTAAAGGTGCTTCTTGTAAGAGGAGAGATGATGAATAAAGGAGTTAGCAGGGAGAGAGGTGACAGGATGTTGCCCCTAGGCATATCAGTCCAATGGACCTACAGATATCCTAGATTTTTATTTTAACAGACATTATAGTCTCATTTTCAATCCATTTTATGAGGGAAAGATTATTTCCAAATGCCAAACATCTATCCATTTTTAAATTTTTCTCCAGTTACTTGCTAAAGATGACAGAGCACAAAAGATTGAGATAATGGACCAAAATTTAACCAAAATCCTTCTTTCACTACACACCAGTAAAGTTGCCCTGCCTGTTCTGTATTTGACTCCTAGAAATAAGAATGGTGAAAAAAACCCACGCATCTTGCTCAAGACTTGTCTACAGCCAGTGAAGTTTGACTGTAGGAACAATATGTGCATTTAATAAGAGTTTACAGTTAGCGATAGAGAGAATAACTCCTAGTTTGTCTTTTCATGCAGAACTACTTAAAGGGGTAAAAATCTGACACACTTCCATTACAATGACTTCATGCAATTTTGCTGGACAGGCTATAGAAAGCCTATGGGGCCCATCCCTAAGTTTGGCATATTTGAGGGAACGTGAGGAAAGCCAGTAGGACCGTTGTCCAACAGCAGTGACTTAACTGAAAGTGCCACCTGAGTTAGCTATGGTCCCTTCTTTGGCCATGACTGGCCTTTTGTGGAGGAGATCTGCAGGAAAGCAGTGTTAGAAATATGTCAACCTTGAATTTTCTTACAGAATAATATTACTCTGTGACTCAGCTCTGACTGCTTCAGTCTGACCTATACAACCTGCCTTCTGTTTCATCCTGGTACATGGGAACTCACAGGGGTCTATCCAAGGATCCAGACAAAAGGCATCACACAAATAAATCCAACTAGTTTTTTTCTATATGGAGAGTCTCCAACACACAGCGTTGCAGTGGGTAGGACATGGGCCATTGCTCTTGTATCTACAGTGGAGAATCTTACTCACATTTCCCAAAGATTCAATGAAAAAAATAGTACTGCTTAAACTGAAGTAATTTTAAGTATGATACATCTTCTCCAACCCTATATCATTCTGTGATTCTTATGTTTGTTTCAGAGTTAAAAAGGAAAGACAAACATGCTAGAATTTTCTTAGTTTTCAGCTGAGATATTAAGCCAAATAGATACTAGAAGCATGTAAACGTTCTGAAAAAGTGCAATGTAGAGGCGGGTCAGATAAGTTTTTACACAAATTAGACCACTAAATAGTCTAGACTTATTACGATAAGAATATATAGAAGTTGACTTTCTCAATAATATCCTGTTGTATGGGCAGATCGCTAAGTCCAGGGGCTTCTTAAAAAGCATTTCAAACCTCTTAAAAAGAACGTAATAATTGTCTAAGTTCCCCTACTTGCTTGTTTAGAAAACTAAAAGTGAATAAAGTAGGAATAATCTGTTAATCTGCCATCATTATTTCATTACTTCCAAGTTGACGAAAACTGCCCCCAGCTCAGGGGCAAATTGTTTTATAATGAATGGAAATCAATTTTCCTTAGACATCACTAGAAAGAAACTTAGCCAGATGCTGATTGTTTTGATAGTGTGGCAGCACTCAGAGGCAGTGGGAGATAGTATGTGTCATTAAGACATTATCAACTGCCAAAGTCAAAAGGGTCTGACATTTGCGGTCTAGACTACAAAGACCCTTGAGAAGTTTATTTATTCGGTTTTTTAGTAATAGTAACAAATCTGTTGCTCTCTCCTTTCTAGCAGCCTTGGAATCAAACCCACCCAATCCAAGTTCAGTCATTTGTTTGGAAATAAAGCAGACATTTGAATAACACCCTTCAAAATACCAAACAGATTTCTGCTAGTAAATCACTGTAGTCCTCCTAACCTTGACCTTTATATCCTTCCTGAAGAAGTACAGCATTAATCAAGAAAGGACTGTTCAACACATTCCACTGCGAGAGTCTTGTTGCTACAGTATTAACCTGGAGGTGTTCAGTGGAAAATTATAAGGAATCCTTAGTGTTGGAAGGTATCCTATTCTCATGATGCATTTCCTTTCCCGTAGGCCAGGCATGGGGCTTTGATTTTAAGTTCACTGACATACACATAAACATCGCTCCAGGCTAAAACTGAAAACTCTGCAGAGATTTATGAGTGAAGCAGACATTCTGTCACTGGATTTGTTAATTTTGCCTGAACGTCGCCCCCACAACAAAAAGCGTGCCCATGCATCTTTCTGAAAGACATCCAGCCTTCCAGCTCACTCAGCGCATGAGTTATGGGGACTGACACACTACAAGAGTGTGATTTACAAGTGATGTTGCCTTCCACCTAGTTAATATTCAAACATCTACCTTCCTCAGCACTTCCATGATAAGAAAATACTCTTCATTCTTAATTAATGCTCATCAAGCTTTGTGCCAGGAAAATAACTGATCTCTACTAATTGCTGAGAAAAATCTCTACAAACACTAGACTGTAACTCCATCTTGGGAGTTTGTTTTTTCTTAACTCACTTTGGTTTGACAATATATCATAGTGAAGGAGGTTGTGTTACATTACCTAGCTGGAGTTTTAGGTATTCTTAATGCCTCTATACAACCACAAAGAAATACAGAGGATGTCTTAATATAAAAGAGAACCACGACCGCTGACTTTATATGGCTGTTTGTGAAATACAGTGCTTCATGAATGTAAAGGAAATAAAAAAGTTCAACTCCCTGGAAAAAAAGGCCTAAATCAGAATACACTGCAACAATAATATAGTTCTATTTACTAAACCACAAAGACAACCACTGTCAAAAAGTGAGCTTTGTTATCATCTACTTAAGTTAAAAATGTGGTATCACCTAAAAATGTTTTGTTGAACATTTTTTCTATTTCTTGTCCCCTGCCCTGCTTCAGTAGCTGTACAATAGTGTATTATTGTCTCATTTTTTAAACCTTTAGCTGTTCTGAACTATACTTAGTACAGCACACTTGCTTTTTGATACAGAAATATTTTAAATCTCTTTTTAGAATGACTGGATGCATCAATTTTTAATTTTAAATACTGAGAGGAAAAGTCATGCTCTAACTTGATCTAGGAGCTCCACATTTGATTTGTTTTGTTAGCCCCAGTGAGAAGTGACTTAGCGAGGAAATTGCAAAGATACTTAGTAAAATCATGAACCAGTCTGTGAAGTCTGATGCTTTGGTGGGCTAAAGAAGAGCTAACGAGGCGCATTCATTAAAGTTCTTTTGTATAAAACAGTGGAGAGTTGAGGGCCTAAGGAGAAAAGTACTTGTCTGGCCCTACCACAAGAACAGCCACCGAGAAACGGAGGGACTATGCAGAGCTTTAAAACAGACTCTGTAGCACAAAGACTTTCTTTTAATTGCAGCTGAAGCAAGTTTAAACATCTGTTGCTTGTTAGATTATTATTTTATTTATTTACTTATTTATTTATTCATTTATTTTGGGGATGGGTTGAAGAAAGCTTTTTTAGATTCCCTATGGCCATTAAGCTGGGATAGAGAACAGAGGTCTGAGTGTCTCTAAAATGTAAAGCTGCAAAGATTTTTGTTTTAGCAAGGATCACCCACTTTTTTTTTCCACTGAAGAAGCCTGCTGAAACTTTTGCTTTTGTAGATTTTTATTGCCATTTTTAGGATGGTAGCCAGAACAGCTTATAGCAGCAGGGAACAGGTTGTATCACTGTGCTGCATCTTTTGTTTTCAGATATTGAAATGTCTGAATCTGGGTGTGTCTAGAAGAGGAGAAAGAAGAGAAAATGGATCAGAAAAAGGGAGCAAAATGACATGTGGAAAACAGCGTGTGCTACAAGTCCTTCACTTTCTTCTGATCATCACAACTTTTCATAAGACTTCAAGAGACTTGTTCCATCTGCAGATCGCCAAGCCAAACTTTAGCCAATACACATGCTACCCTGGGGATTTAACAGACTGCAAAGTCTAAGTTCACATGGTAGGTAACTATTGCTAACTGTCCCTGTGTCTTCTCTTCCCATG